ATTCCATAACATTCAAAAAACCCAGCAAAATGGGTTTCTTGAGAAAAGTCTCAAGAGAACTTTTCACAGAGATTTATTATAAGACAACTTTATCCTTAGAAATGTCCTTTAATTCCTCATTCCTTTACATAAGATACGGTGTTTGTCAAATAAACACCCCTTGGCACAACTAAACAGAAACTTCAGAAGGTGGTCCTGCATATGACGGCATGGTTAATATTGATGCCAAAGAGATAAGGGGACAGAAAAGTATGCAAGATACAGATTCATAAAACCATGAAATTTGTTTTACAAGGAGATAAGGGCATGCTGTCTTTTTTCTCTAAATCTTGATTGTGTAAGTCTAAAGAAATCCTTAAGGAGTCCTCACATACTGCGAGTGGAGGAATTAGGTCCAAATATCAAAGCACAGGCATAACATCCAATTATTCTGCTTTCTCAAATCACTGCATTTTGAGTTTCAAAATGAAAACACGAGCTGACTGTTTATTTACTGTAAAGTTCTATCTCATCAGCAATTCATCCAGTATTCTATTCAGCCGTACTGAAGTTTATCAAACCAAAATCAATTAGGCAGCCCAAGCTTCAGTCCAAGTGTTATTTATAAAACACAAACATTGCCAAGCTGGGCCAACCTCTGAATGATCATTATGGCTCAGGACCACTTTAGAAGCAATAACTTTAATAGCAAACATGAAACTTTGGTAATGGTTGCCATTTCTTTTTTAAATCTTCATGTCCATCAGCTTCAAAAGCAGGCTGACAAACAGAAACATCACTCACTCACACTTCCTGCTTGGTCTGGAAGTCCTCACTTCTATACCTATGTAAAATAATAACTCAACAGAAGCAGAAGTGTCAGAAAACCCATTAACTCGCTAGTGAAACAGTGAAGGAAATAGAATATAAATAATTTGAACTGGGAATATAGGAGGGGAATGCCTGCCAAGGGCTATAACATCTGAAAACAAACAAGCGAATACCTAGGAATATGTCTGGACAGTTAATCAAAACACCATCACTATGTGTTCATTTGCATTATTACCAAAAACAAATAAGAAGCAGAAAAAGATTATATGATCCATATCTAGCGTATTTGGGGGCAACTATTCCTGAAGGATTGTGAGACATATGGAATCTGTCCACCCCTAAGCAGGCATACTGAATACTGACCTCCAATTGTGTTATTTACAAAGCAGGAGTGGGTAAAATGTGGCCATGGGACACATGTGATCCTCAGGGCTGTGGTCTCACAATAATTTTTATTTTCAAAAACTAGTTTTGGTTCTAAAATGGACCAAAATTAATTTCAGAAAGTGTGGAGGCTATTTCCTACATTTTGGGAATTCCTTTGGACTCCCCAGAGATTAAAACAAAATTCTGTGAATTTTGTCCAAAAAACAATTTGCCTCCAAATTCCTCCCAGGGGCCAGAAAAGTCTTGAAAGATGCTCCCAAATCTCTAGAATGCGTTTGCAGAAAAAAAAGTTAATTTTTAGTGAGAGCAGATACTCCAAGATCCCTGGGAAAATCAGTGCAGCTCTCTTGTCTTTCACAGTTGCCCGTTCCTATTTTAAAGGATCTATTTCTGTGCTACTGCCCTTAAATTGTGGGATTTTTTAAATTGATATTTTCCCCATTTATTATTATTATTATTATTATTATTATTATTAACTTTATTTGTACCCCGCTAGCATCTCCCGAAGGACTCGATGCGGCTTACACAGGCCGAAGCCACAAAACACAATACAGTAGAAACATAACACAACAATAAACAAAGCAAATCAAAATATTAAGCAAAATAACAACAACAATGACAATGCAACAAGACACTTTAAAACTGGGCCGGCCGGAGCAATGGGTACAGGGTTAAAAGTGCTGAAATGGCAGGAGGAACGTAGGATTAAAATAGTGCGGTGTGCAGTAATATTGATTGTACTAAAGTGCTTCTAGGACTTGGGATGGGGGATTCCTAATCTGAGAAGGCACATCGGAACAGCCAAGTTTTTAGGTTCCTTCTGAAAGCTGCTAAGGTAGGGGCCTGTCGAAGATCTTTTGGAAGGGCATTCCAAAGTCGGGGGGCCGCCACAGAGAAGGCCCTGTCCCGTGTCCCCACCAAGCGCGCTTGCGACGTGGGTGGGATCACGAGCAGGGCCTCTCCAGATGACCGGAGCGAGCGTGTGGGTTCGTAGATGGAGATGCGGTCACGCAGGTAGGGTGGTCCCAAACCGTTCAGGGCTTTGTAGGTGAGCACCTGCACCTTGAATTGGGCTCGGAAAATAAACGGCAGCCAGTGGAGCTCCTTAAACAGAGGGGTAGACCTCTCTTGATAATGAGCCCCAGTTAGCATCCTGGCTGCTGCCCGCTGGACCAATTGAAGTTTCCGAGCCGTCTTCAAGGGCAGCCCCACGTAGAGCGCATTGCAGTAATCCATTCTAGAGGTGACCAAGGCATGGACCACCCCGGCCAGATCAGCCTTCGCAAGGTACGGTCGCAGCTGGCGCACAAGTCTCAATTGTGCAAAGGCCCTCCCGGATACCGCCGACACCTGAGCCTCAAGTGTGAGCGAATCCAGGAGGACACCCAAACTGCGGACCTGTGGCTTCAGGGGGAGTGTAACCCCGTCCAACACAGGTTGCCACCCTATACCCTGATCAGGTTTACGATCGACCAGGAGGACCTCTGTCTTGTCGGGATTGATCTTCAGCTTGTTCCTCCTCATCCAGATCGACACAGCGGCCAGGCACTCGTCCAGCACCCGAGAAGCCTCCTTGGAATTAGGTGGAAAGGAGTAGTAGAGTTGTGTGTCATCCGCATAAAGATGGCACCCAACTCCAAAACCCCGGATGACCTCTCCCAGCGGTTTCATGTAGATGTTGAAAAGCATGGGAGACAGAATAGAGCCTTGCGGGACCCCACAGGTCAAAGGCCAGGGGTCCGAGCAGGCGTCTCCCAGCTTCACCATCTGGGTCGTCCCTCCAGGAAGGACCGGAGCCACGACAAAACCGTGCCCCCAAGGCCCATCCCAGAGAGACAACCCAGAAGGATACCATGATCGATGGTATCGAAAGCCGCTGAGATGTCCAAGAGAACCAGCAGAGTCACACTCCCCCTGTCCAGCTCTCTGCGGAGGTCATCCACCAAGGCGACCAAGGCTGTCTCGGTGCCATGACCAGGCCTGAAACCAGACTGTGACTGATCTAGGTAGTTGGTATCGTCCAAAAAGCTCTGGAGCTGGGAGGCGACCACCCGCTCCAGCACCTTACCCAAAAAAGGGAGGTTGGAGATTGGGCCTGTAATTGCTCAGCACCGTGGAGTCAAGGGAAGCCTTTTTGAGGAGTGGACGAACCACAGCCTGTTTCAAATTAGATGGAAAAATCCCTTGCTCCAACGATGCGTTGATAATCAGTACAAACCAATCAACCAGCCCCTCCCTGGCTGATTTAATGAGCCAAGATGGGCACGGGTCTAGAGATGAGGTAGTCGCCCTCACAGCCCCAAGAATCTCCTCCACGGTTTCAGGAAGAACAAGCCTAAAAGAATCCCACAAAGTTGGTCAAGCAGATGCCTCCGTCACCTCTTCTGGCACTGCAATGAAATTGGAGTCGAGCTCAAGGCGTATCTGGGCGACTTTACCTGCAAAATGGTGTGAGAAATCGCAACACCGAGCTGCTGGGTCATCAGTGACCTCCTCCACCACAGGTGGGTGGAGGAGTTCTCCCACGACCCGAAACAGCTCCGATGATCTATTTGCTGCAGACGCTATGCGGGTGATCGTGAATTATTTCCTGGCCACCCGTATAGCCACGGAGTATGCCTTAAGAGAGGCTTTAGCCCGTGCTCGATCAGACACGTCCCGAGATTTCCTCCATTTGCGCTCTAGCCCCCTTCTCGTATGCTTCATCACAGTCAGCTCCCCGGTGAACCAGGGAGATGGCCTGTCACGACGCAACGAGATGGGGCGTTCGGGTGCGATCGTATCTATCGCCCTGGACATCTCCCTATTGGAGAGAGTCACCAAGGCGTCGATAGAATCGCCAGGCTCCAAGGCAGGAAGAACCCCAAGATTCCTCAGGAATCCATCCGGATCCATCAGTCTCCTAGGGCGGACCATTTTAATCTGTCCTCCACCCCTGCGGAGGTTAAGAGTCGCAGCAAGTCTAAAACTGATCAGATAATGATCAGACCATTATTTGCTACATTAGTATACCGCCTTCTCAGCCCCCAAAGCGACTCGAGGCGGTTCACAAGGCAACAACTCAATGCCAACAACATCATACAAACATTAAAAAACATTAACACATCAATAAAAAACCATAACAGTAGTAAAAACAATCATTTCGTCTCCTAGATAAAAAAACATAATCCAATCTCATAGTTCAATTGTTCCATAATCCTATGTCTAATTACGCTGCCTTTTCAAATGCCTGCTCAAATATAGCCAGGTTTTGACTTTTACAAATATTTGTTCCAGTAGGGTGATAGCTTCATCATTTTAATTATTCCTATGACTGTGAATGTAAACAGTGTGTTAAAAGATAACACATTGTAAAGCCACCTTTAGTGTGAATGTTTAGCATCTAACCTGAATTAGGATAGCTTGGATACAGACAAAGTGTAGAGACTGTTACAATCTTCTAGACAACAACAACCATAATCCTGCAGCCATTATGGCAATTAGCCATATAATCTGACAAATTATTTTAGTCGTCCCCACAAAAGTAACTTTCCCTATTTGTTGATGCATTGCATCTGCTATGACACCCACCACATTTTCCCTGGTCACTGGTGTCCTAGTTGTTCTCGGGATGAACTGAATTGTTAGTCTAGACAGGCACTTGGACTTCAACAACATCCTTTTTGTGTTCTTATGCATCACACTGATAAGAAATATAGACCGCTTCAGTGTTATGCTGCTATGATATTTTTCCCTGTAGAACATCTGTAAGATCAACTTAAAGAGATCTCAAGGGTGAGAGGAGAAGGAAAAAAAATGCTTACCATTAAACTTCTAAATTTCCTATTTTCTGCAATGTGAAAAAAGCATTCTCTTGTGAAAATCTTGATGTGTTTCACTTCGTTATTGTACCTGTGGGCAACGAATAACTTATGAATACAAATGTATTTTTAATCAGCAAAGATCGATAATTACTTGAGGCCATGCCCCACCACCAGATGAATAAATTCTTAAAACAAAATATAGATTCTAGCCAATACACTGTTGACACCTAATTAACAAAACACATTTACTAACGTCTGTCTGAAAACATAGCCTTAATTCAGATTTTCAAAAAGCCCTCCCAGCAAGATGTAATTATGGGATTTCATAATAATGACTGCATTCATGTTCACATTGACAAAACAAATGAGCAAGATTTCCTTTAAAAAAAAATCTTTATAGTTACATGCAATTTAAAGGAAGAGAAAATATTCTGTTATCCGAGTCAGTTTGTAGTCAAATCAGTTCTAGTTAAAATGCAAATGGAACATTAAATCACCTTATGCTAACCAGCATAAAGTCATTTGTGTCTCAAGTCAGAAAATCCATTAGGGAAGTTTCTGTAGTGATGACTTGCAGAAAAAAAAGGATGCCTAAAAGAGAATGGGTGTGATTGCCTTTGAGAAAGAAGCTAAAGGATGTGCTGCCCCCCCCCCCAAAAAATGGGTTCTTGGGTTAGTTGGATTCAAAAGCTTCTCTACTAATGCAGCAGTTCCTTCAACACATAAGAAACTAATTTGAGATTTAAAAACACTCCAGAATTAGTAATTTAAAATTTTCTTTCAGCATTAATGATCACTCTTCCATCTGAACATTTCTAACTGTTAAACCAGAAATTTCCAAACAGTTTGTTGCAACACATTAATATATCAGCTGCAGTGTGCAGGTGTGTCAGATGAATAGACTCATAAATAACACAAATCTTGGAAGTGTATGCTATTATCTTACAAATCATATTTTTAAAAATATATAAATGAAAGGTTTTCATGAGATATGTGGTGCCCCATACATTTCATTATTAATGCACATGTCCATATCTTTTACAAGGGGTTTATTCGGTTTGTGAATAAAATGAAATTACTGTATTGTGAAACCATGAATACCTAAAAGATATTACCAACATGAAATGTTTGGAAAACTCTATGTTAAACAATAGAGTTAAACAAATAGTTAAACAAATAGTCAGAAATTCTGGAAGCTGAAGTCCAGGGGAACAAATGTTGAAAACCACTCTAAGTCATGTATTTTGTATTACAGAATGTCGTAGTGGAATGGAGAAATGGATAAATTCCCATTCTTTTGCAAATGGACTTTAATGCAAAGGAATTCTTTGTGTCCCAGGTTGGGGGGGGGGGCTAGTTCCCAGATTCCCCAAATCCTCATTTTTTTAAAAAAAAAAAAGCAATCAACATTTTCCATTTTAAAATTGCCTCTAGGAGGTTATTCAAGTCTGCCTGAATACTCCCCTGAAACAATTATGATCTTGTACAGTTAAGATTAGAAATTACAAAAATTCAGTTTTGCCCCCTTCCCATAATGTGAAACCCACACAGAATCAGGAAGTGCAGAAACTGCCCCTTCAACCCCACCCTGCCATGTCTACCTTCCATTCAATCACTTGTTGGATCAAACCATCTAGATTCTAAAACTTTTATCAAACCATCTAGATTTTCATAAACAATTTACATTTATAGAAAGATAGATAAAATATGGAAATGTAGCAAATTGGAAACATTTGGACATCTATTACAGCAATAATAACATAAAGAAATGTTTATCCAGAAAAAAACATACTCTACTTACTTAATGCTAATGGCGTATTCACCCGATTCTTTTGTCCTACAACGCACTAAATATGTGCTATTTACTCGGTTAATAAGTTCAGTCTCTGCTTGAAGCCTTTCCATTGTTCCTGCATACCTGCAAACAAAGAAAGTCCATTAACAATGCCATCCTTCAAAATGGACCCTCAGGGCATGAGCTAAAGAAGCAGTATTTTCAGGTGAACCATCTGACACATAATTTTATCGGGTAATGAGATCATAGGAATGTTTTAAAAAGAAAAATAGTGTCTGATAATGGTGTTAAACTTCTTTAGTGTAATGAATAGTGTTTCCAGGTTACTCTTGCATTGTTGCCATTTTTTAACATTTGGGGTGGGCGAAGTAACTAAAAGTAAGACATTGAGTTACTTTTTTAAAAAAAAACACAAAGTTCCTTGCACATTTTTATGTATGGAGACATGTAAGACAAAAAATACATTCCAAAAGTAGCATACTGAGTGAGAACAAAGTTTCCTTATTGGTGTAAGAAGTAAAAAAATAGTGGCTTTCCCAATTTATTTTAAAGTGTACACCAAGGCATCTTTTGCCATACTTTGATCAGAATTTGCCAGGTGTTTTGCTATTCTCTTTCCAACTATACAGTATATTTTGAAAAGTTGCCAGCAATGCAACAAATAATATATCTTCAATATTGCAAAAAGTAAAGAGAACATACTCATTTTCCAACATTGTAAGGAATTATGAAAATGAATTACATATAAAAAAATAACTTTTCATGATTTGCCCAAATCCTTCTGCATGCATTTTTTAAAATTCAACAGTACGATGCACTTATAAAACATTGCTAGGCCATGTATATTTTCCACTATGACAACAAAATCCACATAGTTAAAGCAATGGTATTCCCCATAGTCACCTACGGATGTGAGAGCTGGATGATAGGGAAGACTGAGCGAAGGAAGATAGATGCTTTTGAACTGTGGTGTTGGAGGAAAGTTCTGAGAGTGCCTTGCACCACCAGAAGATCCAACAAGTCCATACTTCAGGAAATAAAGCCCGACTGCTCATTAGAGGGAAGGATAGTAGAGGCCAAGATGAAGTACTTTGGCCACATCATGAGAAAACAGGAAAGCTTAGAGAAGACAGTTATGCTGGGGGAAATGGAAGGAAAAAGGAAGAGAGGCTGACCAAGGGCAAGATGGATGGGATCCTTGAAGCGACTGGATTGACCTTGAAGGAGCTGGGGGTGGTGACGGCCGACAGGGAGCTCTGGCGTGGACTGGTCCATGAGGTCACAAAGAGTCGGAAACGACCAAACAAATGAACAACAACAAGACAACAAAATGCATTCATCTGAAGATTGAAAAGTTGACACCTAATAAGCTAGACTTCTATTTTCACCATTTTTTAAATCTCAGGCTACCTAATTAAGATCCAATCAAAACCAAAATGGTCCATAAAGACTGAAACTACTTACCATGTTTGGGAAGAGTAGTCCACAGGTTTAGGAACCTAAGAAGCAAACAAATAAACAAAAAAGCAGAAGCAAATTAGAATTAACTGTTTACATTTTTGACATGCCAGATAAATAGTGGAGTGCTAGATGAGCATTCCCAAACATAGAAACATGAAATCTCATCAGTCTACATCTTATAAATGAATGATTAAAACACATACACTACATTATTGTGGGGATCATATCAAATAGGGGTTATTTCAATTAGCACGACTACCTCTTAAAACCGTATAACAGGAGACCCTGTACAACAATACATTTTAAATATTTATTGTAGAAATCTGCACAAACTCCTTTTACTAATAGATTTCCCTCCTTACTTCATCACAACACATAAAATACTACTTTTAAAAAATTACACTTCCACCCAGAGCAGTATTCAACAAAACAAAATTATATTTTACAGAAGAGACAAAACTATCTTTGAAAAAAAAAGATATTACATAGCCATCTCATGTTTTGCCATACCAGGGCAGCCCAGGAAAGTGAGGTGACACTTATTGTCCCCTCTCGTTCTCTGGGTTGTGGTGATATCCAAGCATGACATGGGTTCTGCCAGTCACTTGTCACCTGTAGTAATATTGGCCTTAGGATGTTGACAGTTTGCTATTTAGCCAATATCAAGTTGTTCATTCCCTCTGTTTTTGAATTTTTCACAACAGCTGGTGCGGAACTGATGGCTTCCATTTGAATCATTATTTTGCAGTATTTTAATAGTGCATCTACATATATGTAACAGAGTGATCTGAATGCAGCTGCGTAAGGACAAGGTGTGAATATTATTTAGATTGTTTTTACGGAGCTCTTAATTGTAACTCTTCTACAACACCCTTTCCTTCCAGAAAAGGGAGGGAGACACTTCCAAAGATTATTTTTGCTCTCCCCCCGTCCAAAATTATGATAACAAACCAAGCATCCATATGATTCCATCCCAAAAATATGCAAACTGAACACAAAGTAGGCAGGAAGGGAAACATGTTATCTATATTACTCATTCTTCCTCTGGTCTTTTTGAATGTCTGGGCAAAACATTCAAAAATAACTTTTGGTACAGAATAACTTTTGACTTATTCATAAGACATAAAAATCCATAATTTGGGCCCCAAACCTGCCCTCAATTTATATATGGGGGTAAATGTATACAAAGGTACATGCAGTAAGCTTGAAAATGTTTTTTGGGGGAAACAGTGCCAACTGCAGACAGAAAAATCCTATCATAACTATCTGGGGGAAAAGCATACTATAAATATTCCAGGCCTCAAGACATTTTTCATGCAATATTTACTCATCTTGCATTGTGATAAATGTGTTTTATACTGTTTCTAGGCAGTTTTATATGGACTGGTTGTAAAGGCTGTTATTTGATAATAATAGAAAGCTATGGTGCTTCAAAGAGTTGATGAATGTATTAGTATCTCCAAGTCTTATCGTTTGTCATAAAGCAATGTTTATATTTTGCCCTTTCAGGTGAATGGTGGTGAAACATCAATTTATCTTTCTAGTAACAATGTGTCTCTAATATGCTGAGGATTGATGTTTATTCATACTGCAGATTCATGCAACACAACTACTCCCTGATAAGAAAGGAACATATTTCACAGCAACTCATATAACTCATTGATAACAGTCTCCTTTCAGATCTTTTAAATTCCCATCCATTCTCCTACTTGAATAAAAAAATGTGATTGATACATTTGACAACATTTATCTGATATCTGTTGATTGCCCACTGTCATAGCATATCAATTATGTCAATTGTAACCATGAAACATTACAGACTAAATCCAATTCCAAATAGGGAAGTGCCACTAAAACAAATGCAACCTATTAGATTCCATTTATTTGAATATGTTTACTTTAGTTGGACCTAAAAACAAATTTAGCCTGCTGTACCAAATTTAGAAGGAAACACAAAAAGAGTGGCGGAAGACACATTTGGCTACAAGTTAGACATGCTTGTGTCTAACGTGGAAATCAGAAAATTTTGAAGTATTAAATTTCAAATTAAACATTACATTGGCTGCATGATCAGACTGAACATATCTGCATTTCATTTTCAATTAGTTGCAAAGATCCCATTGAGGTGAAACCATCATATGGCCCATGACTAAACTGGCCATTTAATCCATGGCCAGTCTGGAGTATTATGTTCTGGAGTGGTTCCAGATCAACTGGAATGCCAGTCACATAGATTGAGCCAGATCTTCAACAATGCTGTATCAATATCCTGTCAGTCCAGCTGGGGTGAGACCTCATCAGCCATGATGGCCCTGATCTCCATGTCACCTCTGCCACTTTTCACTGGCTACAGAACTACTGTGCTGAGGTCAAAATGAGGCACCCATATGATTAGCAAGGATGGGGCAGAGTGACTCACTCTTTCTTGACCTCAGAAGATACAACCTCAGAGAGTGCTGTGACCAATCTGCATTTAGCAGCAGTTAAATGCATATTGTACTTATCAGAACAGGGGAACTGTGATTGCAACAGTGTACATGTGGACAACAGATTGGGCTGAATTGGACTCCTGCAAACTCCAGTGACACACAACTTTGCTTAGTGCAAAGCCAAGGTTTGTTAAAGGCTAAAAACTCTAATACTTAGCTGAAGTAACCATACATCATTAGAACTGCCAGCATCAGCTTTAGGATAATGTTTTTTTAAAATTCATATAGACATGATCATGGAGACAGGAGTTAACTTTCTTCACCAACACTCTTTTCCCAGTAACAAAGTAACTCCTACACAGGATACTTGAACCCTATGGAATCCTGGGGTTTATAATTCTAAATACACCTTACACTACCAGTTTTGAGATATGACACTATAATTGGTGAGTATAAATATCTCTTCGTTATTTTCCACAAGATACAGATACTTCTGAATGTGACTTACAAGTCTGTAATAAGTTCTAAACAACAACAGAACATGTATTTATTCCAGTTTCAAGGTGTCTCCAATGGCAACTTTGTCCATTTCAGAAGTGACAAACAATAATGGAGCTATAGTTCAAAACATATTAGGGGAATGGTCATCTCACTACTACAAAACTCCAGTATCTGAGGATCAGCTATCCAAACTTTCCACAATTTCTGACACAAAAATCTGTTCACAAGTGAACTGGGATAGGGGATGAAGAAAGATAGATGCTGACAACTTTCCCCTTCCTTTGAAGTAGCAATATAACAGGCCGAGTAGCTGCTGTACTACTGGGTAAAGCCATGAGCAAGCAAGTGGGAGGAGAAGGTGCAGCTCAACCAGAGATGGGGATGGAGATATCTATGATTCATATATTGTTTTCTGTTAGAATTGTTAACTGTTATGAATTTCCACTCTGCCAATTACTGTCCTAGCCAAGACTGCTTTCACTTGGCCTTTGCAGCTGATCATTCCTGAAGAATGTATGTGTGTGTGTGTGTGTATATATATATATATATATATATATATATATATATATATATCATTTAATGAGACTTATTTAGAGAAAACACACACTGCACTTAAACATTCATGCAACTGCAATCCTTACAGGGCCTTTCCAAGAAACTAACAATGAGCGTAATTTATAATGAAAATTGATAAAAATGTGCACGCACGCACACACATACATACAAAATCAGAGTTTAGCCAATGGGGGAAAATTGTGATAATTTGGTAAACCGCACAAATAAATTCAGAAGCTATAAAAACTATTTAAAATTGTCTATAATTCAGTGCACTAAGAAAACACAAAAACATAAAGTCAAGGAACAAAATGTGAATGGGATTATCAGAAATGCTATGAATTCAAAAGTGAGAGATGTTTATACGCCTAGTAGTAACATGATATCTGGTTAAAAAGAAGTAGTACATCTTTGTTTATTTTGTTCTCATATTTAAGAACCAATCATTTCAAGCCTTTTCCCCCTACTAGACTTGCATTTAATTATAGATTATGAGTTTGATACAGTTTACATTTCAATTTTTTGAGACTTTAACCGTATGAAATTCTTTTTTTTTAATTCCTATTTCCAAAAACCCATTTAATATAAAGTTCTCAAATAGAGAACATATCAGATATTAAACTGATAAGAACAGATACTATACTTGATCTTAGCCAAAAGGCCGAGAAGCGATATGAAATTCTTTTCATTGTAATTCTCTCCATTTTGTAAGTTACTTTGTGCCTCACTGTTTGGACAAAATGTGGTGTATTTTAAAAAGGGATGGGTAAGCGAAGAAAAAGAAAGATTCTTATAAATGTGTGGGTGATTTTGCATGCTTTGGGGCATTTTAACAAAAATAATTTGTTAACAAAATTTTGTGTGAAATTCATACTAACAAAAATAGTATTTATTTATTTGACCAGTCATATGACCATTTCAAAATAGAACACGAGTAAAAAAAAAAACAAGGCAAAAAGGTGAGGACAGTAGCACCAACTATTTTGTGCCAGGAAATTTTTCACAAAATATTTCCACATGCAAAATCATGCAACAAATGACCATTTCTCAACATAATGTTTCAAAATATCATGATATTCTTTTTCACCAAATCTAAGAAAAGATGCTTGAAAACCCCCTCTAGCATTGAGAAATCTGTACTCTCACTGAAACAGGGATGTTGTTGAACAATTTAGTCTTAAATTAGGGAACTGGAGCCATTGCCCCTAGAGTCTTGGTCTGACCATGACTGAGCTTCTCATGCAGAGCTTTGCTCTTAGACCAAATGATGTGAGCATGCACTTCAAGTTGATTTACTAGTTGATACTCTTAAAATATTCTGAAATGCATGGGAAATAAATTGAAGTGTTCAAGTAAAGTGAAAGCATGCAATCACAGGACACAACAGGCTAAGAACTTTGGTTTGACAACTTTTGTAGTTTCAATATTAATTTCTGGAACCATTATTGTGATCTAATCTCTCTCTATAACTCAGTATGACTAGGAAATGTATTAGGATCAGAATATTCTAACATCTCTCTTAAGAAAACAGCCAAGTGGTTGCACAAATTATTTGCTATAGGCTTTGAATGTACTGAATCTGAAATCTAATGAGATAATTTCACTTACTAAGTGTGAAGACCCATTTCTTGTGGAAATGTATTTCATATATATAATTTTAAATCTAATAGCTATGAACCTTACAATGACAGATTCTAAAATAACATTAAATATAGCACACAAACATGTAAACATTACAAAAATAATTTACATCCCACAAAGCAGGTTTAATACAAATGAATCACACAAATTCACTGCAAATGTTTTTGTAAATAATTATATTGGCAAATATTATTGTTTAGTTCTACTTACACATGGGCAAGGTTTTACAGCATCACTTGGGAAAAAACCAAGCTCCCGGGTCACCAAATTTCTACCCTAGAACAAAACAAATATATTTTGTTAGAAAAAATAGTTGTTATTATTATGTGTCTTCAAGTCAGCTCTAACCTATGTCAAGCCATTCATCTTGGCTCGGTTGTTCAGGTTTTCCAGATTTTTTTTTACCATTGCATCCTCTAAGGTTGCGTATGATTTGCTGAAAGTTCTTTGGTGGATTTTCATAAATAAGCAGTGATTTGAACCATGGTCTTTTGTAATCCTAGTCCAACACTCAAACCACTGGATACACACACACACACACATGTTATTTAAATGAGTGTTTCTTAAATTCTGCACAGTGTAAAAAGAACTGATTGAAGCACTGGAACCTGCCTGATAACAAGAAATAGCCACACTAAAATTAAAAACCTGGATTCAACCATGCACCATTAAAGCTGTGCTTCTTTCACACCTCCAAGCATATTCAATATATACTCAATATATACAAAAAAAGTATCAGTTTCTATTTACTAGCATTCAAAGCAATAAGTGCAACTGTAGAATAATCACTAAAAGCACAAGGCACTCCCTCTGGCATATTGGAACCATCTCTATCGAATCTCACATCCTGAAGAAGAAATCCTGTTAGATGATGTGCTTTCTGAAATAAACACAACTGGTATGAAGAAAAAAAAACAATTTATCTCTTGAATTTATACTACTTTTCAAGCTTATGCAAATCTCCAAAATCCAAGAATGTCCTGTCCTATGTTCACAAAATTAAGGTGCAAGTAGGCAGTTAGATTTCTTAAACAGCCATTTTGGAAAAAGTGGCAACTTCTCCCCTTTCCAGAAACTGTACTGCTTGGTAGCTGTATTATCAGGGACTCCTTCAAATGCCCTACATGTGTTCCTGAGCAGACAACTGCCAATTCTCCACCATCTATGTGCAACTCAAATAAGGCATACAAAAATCCCACCCATATAGAAGAGCTTGAACCTGCATGCGCAATCTCTTCATGCAGTGAGCATCTTATGGAAGGATATTTTCAAAGAAGATTAATCCCTCACATATTTAAATACTCTGGTTCCAGACAGGATCCATCATATTACTTTTTATCCTGTTGTTAACTACCATCTAGTTGACTTCAGGTTATGACAACCCTATGAATTAGAGACCTCAAAGTCAACCTATCATCAACAGTCCTGCTAAGATATTGGAGACTTGGGGTTGTGGTTTCCTTGATCCACTTGGAATGCCATCTTCTTTTTTCCCTATTGTTTTCTGTCTTATCAAGCATTATTGTATTTTTTAGTGAGTCGTGTAACAGTCTCAGTCTAGTCAGCTTGGCATCCAGGGAGAATTCAGGCTTGATTATCAATCTTAATATATTCAGATCTTTCTCACTATAAAAAAAGATTCCTAGAGGAGATTATGTGGTCAGCTCATACTGGCACTATGAACATCTGACTTAAATTGACAGTAAAATGACATAAGACAGCCAGCTTAGTGTAGCTAAGAATTGGACAAGGACACTGGAACAGACACTTCAGAACTGATATCGAAGGTTTTTTTTTTTTTTTTGCTGTAGAATATTATGTGGGAGGCTGATCTGGATCATTATTTTGTAATATAAATTTCTAGATCAAGACTATGATGGAAATGATTAGTTAAAAAGTCTTAGACTGACAACATGGCAACAAATGAAAATTCAGTGCAAGAAAATTACAGTTACAAACGGATTCTCAATATTTCATGAAGTTTCTGTAAAGGATTATCTAGTCTCAGTAATTTTCTAGAGGCTGGGCTAAACTATATTCAGATAAATTTGGTTTGGGCTTGGGGTGCATGTTAAAGCAGATAGCTTGACACCTATGTTAGAGACTGAGGTTTCTTTACAAGGGATATTTATCAAGCTAGATAACTAATTGGCCAGAAGGAGATGCCATTGGCCAAAACTTCTACAGAAATCAACTGCATCAAGTTGCTTTAGTTCCACTCTTCCCAACCTGGAACTGTGATGGAGGCTATAGTTCAATATATTAGGAGATCATGAGACTGGGAAGGCTCCTTCAGCTATTTCTGTGTCACATACTTTACCTGCCAAAATAAGCTGTGTGCATCTCCTTTGATGAGTTCAATGATGTCTCCAACCTGGATATGTAGCGGAGGGCCATCGTGTGGACTTGGTTGTGGTACCCCATTATAGTGTCTAATTACTTGCATTTTTGGTAAACCTGAAACAATGAAGGGTAAAGATGATTTATGTTTGGTTAGTTACACAGAATAAAATAGTTGGACATCACATTATGCCATACAAATGCACATATCCCAATCATCTCAGTGACAACTGTTAGCTGTTTAATAAGAGCTAGGAAAAAAAATCTAGAATATTTTTTAGTACTGGTCTTGGTAGCTATTGAAGATTCTAGGACTGTACTCTCCAAAAAGTAACTTCTGTAAGCTCTTGGAATTCAACAGGCCTGCTTTAGAATCTACCCCACCCCAACACAATTCTGCCAGGTATTTTGAGTTTTCTGCTGGCACTTATTTCAGTACACTTTTGCTATTGCTATTATGCCATATCTTGTTATTGGTTTTTAGATTTATTTTTCAATGTGTTAATAGGATTTATTGTTTCACATGTTGTTCCTATCCCAAGGACCGTTTTATTGAAAAGCAACACATACATGAAAAATATAAGTTACAAAAATGAAACAAAAAGGACAAAATAATCAAAACATAAAAAACAAAAACAATATCAGGGTTCAGATTATGAAACTCAAGGGGAATATATATGAAATACTTAAACAACTTGACAGCCTCCCCAAGCAAGTAGTTTAGGGTGGAGAAATGGCTAAACATGTCCCAACAACTCACTGTACTTGACATATGAACTAAGTAATGAAAGAAGGGAGACTTCTCTCTCCCTGGTCTTTCCTGTATCATCATTATGAGAGTGGGAGATTGCTTAAGAAAACAGTACTTTTCTTTAGGTTGCTGCTTTGTTCATAAAAGCCCAGCATGCACAGTTAAATGGAAAAGAATCAATTTTTTCATCCACTCATTCCTGTCCTATTAATTCTCTCTTGAGGCACTAGTCAATTTCACCACCATAGATGCTCATCTTTTTTCAGAGTGTATACAGCTCAGGCCCAGTAAAAATCTATATCTTAAGATTATCGTTCTAATTTTAGAGCAAAAGGAGGGGAAAGAGAGAAGTGACAGATGTGATGAAGTAATGCTTTAGATGCTCATACACAGAAATTCTGCAGGTTTAGCATCAGTCTTATTCGTGTCCTGTCAAAAAGCAAACGCTGCAGACAACAGGATTCACAAACAATTCTGTATTTATGATATAATCTTTTGAAAATAAAATCTCATTTTTCTTAAGTGTTATTGGATTTAAACCGTGATTCAACCTTTCAGTTGCACTCAACAAGCAAAATAACTCCCCCACAGTACCATCTGCAATAAGTACAGGATAGACTCTTCAATGAATTATGAAGCTGAAACGGCATCTTCTAACACATAGACTTACAACCTCAGAAAGTCTGGGGCCAATTTCCTGCCTTTGGGGCACTATGGGAACTATACAGATTGCTTAAAATAAAATTAAAAAAACAGAAATGGTTGGAACTTTACTACTGGTTTTGAAAAAAAAATGTGATGTGAAATGTGTGGGGCTATGACCTATTTAAAAGTCCTAGAGACTAACAGAAGAGGCAGTTTACTCTTCTTGTCCACAAAAAGGTCATTTGAGTAGTCTGGAATTAGGTCAAAACTGCACTTAGCCTAAATCTGTACTAATGTAACAGAATTCTTCATACACTCACATATACTTTCTGATTTTTCTGAAATAACCCTTCCCCACAACTTTTATAACAAGTAAGCCATTTCCTTTCAGACAAGGTTATGGTAAGTAATCTAACCATGTCTAATCCTTATTTTGTTTTTGTTTTATTTTTTTCAAATATGTCCCTTAAATTCCAACCTTTCTCCCCAAATCATTGGTAATCAAAATCCTGAGGTTCATATATAATATGGGAATGGGTCACAAGTCTGCATGTTTTTATACCCTTATCTCAGCATCCCAAGTTTGGATGGAGAACTCTGTGCCTTCAGCACAAAGAGGAGCAATAAAATGCTTAGTTGATGTTGTTAAGAGATGAGGTTGTTAAGAGACTTCATGAATCATACAAAAATGTACATGTAATTGGTTGGAAGACAGAATTTTTCAAATTATTTCCCTAGAAAACTAGCTCAAGACCTAGCACCACTCTATGTTGTTCCCCATTCAGAGACAAATAAGCATTCAGTTTCCACAAAAGTGTTGATTATTTTACTTTTGAAATCAGTTCCTCACCACATTTCCCAGACACAGGAGTGATAATCAGATGTCTATTATGCACTTTCTCCAACACCCTCAACCTGAATATCAGGTTTAAATGAGCAACAAATGCACATTTGCATCAAGTGTCTGGAAACATCTCGCTATATTCAGGACAAGTACAGTTTCATCCCACTCTGGATAACATGACAATGCTTAACTGAATACTTAAAAAGTGAGGTGTCTAGAGCTTCATCCTACTCTGGGTAACAATGCTTGGTTGAATACTTTTAACAAAGTTAACAAAGATGTGAAGTTAAGCACAGAGAAAGGTATAACTATGCCCTTCAAGGAGTCAACAGCTGTGTGTCAGTGTGGGTGTGTTACCTTAGCAGGGCACCACCAGGATTCAGTGTTACATTCAGTGTAACTTAAGGGTTACATGGATACTTGTTTTTTAGTTCATTACTCTCTGATACATTAATTCTATTTTTAAATACAGGACACATTTTCATATGGGGAAGTAAAGAAACAAAGCGCAACTCCAAAATAGAAAGTATGGACTAGGTTATCTCCCTTCACACACACCCCCCCCCCCCAAATATTCCACTAAATTCACTTCATCCTGACTGTGTAAAATTGCAATAAAAATTGTGGCTATTTTAGTGCATATTTGCAGAAAGCACACATTTTCAACTGTATATTTCCCCCCAATTTAAAACTTTTGAAAAGCTATTTTCCATTAAATATAGCACTTTTGTGTACGACTTTAAATACATTTATTTTACATAGCCTTTTTCAAGTGGATTCCTTTCAGGACACTGTTTTTAAAAAAGTATGTTTTTGTGCAGATTTCAAATACTTAACCTCATTCTGGTTCATGTGCAGGGCTAAGAAGTGCACAAAGCACAGAAAAACGTGAATCAAAAGTAATTTTTAAACCATCCTTGTGAACACAGAACTTAATTAAATGTCGTTTGTGAGAGCTAGACTGGAATTTCAAGCCTAAACTAAGCCACATTAAAGTGTTCCTTTTTGCTGAACAAAGGAAGGTCACGTCAGGTGATGTTTTACCTGAAATGTTGACGGTGTGCGTGCAAGACGTGCACAGACTCATTTGGAAGTCATTAAAGAACATATGACCAAGGGTGTAAATGCTGAACGGATGGCAAAAGTTGTTCTTGAGTCAACCCACTGACCTCCCCTGTGATAAGATCACTGCTTAAAATATTCTACTGAATCACCACCATAATGTGGGGAGTAGAATGAGATGTGACAGCTTTTACAAGAGTAGCTTCTGTTCTGATTGCTCATCAGGGGAAAGTGTCCTTTACCTTAACACCACCACAATTCGGACAGCCTTCAAGGTGCCTAAAGATACTCAGTCATTTTTGCTACTGCAAGTGGATTCTTTTAGGGACATGACCCTTGGGTAACTAATCAGCACATAAAAGGCCCAAACATATGGTTTGTCAATATTAACCAAAAAACCCTGAGAAAATAAGTTTTCAAGACAAAATGGGTATAGATATCAAAAATAATGATTGCAACTGCTTCTATGCACTAAGCAATTCACTTCACAATTTGTAATAAATGTCTTTTTAAAAAGGCTTTAAATGTACTTTCCTCATGTCCTCCTGATGGTTTCCTATACACAGCTGACTGGCAACTGTATGATAGCCATGTAATTTGCTTCTTGAAGGATGCAACAACTAAGTTCAGTAAATTAATTCTCACTGTAAGAAAGTTGTCAAAAACTGCAGTTTTGGGTGAATATTCACAGTTCAGTTTTTATTGTATGCAAAATTCAGTTGTGGTTTTATACCTAAATGTCACTTTTTGCATAGAAAACAGCATATTTCTGTGCAGAAAATTCCATTTATTGGGCAAAAATATTGTTTTTGGACAAAACAATGTCTTAATTATTGTATGAAATAAGTCCTGAACTGCAAAGAGTATTGTCAGTCTAGAATCTTTCTGATTAGGTTTTCTCAACATGTTTTTGACTTTTAAAATAAATTTTTGAATATTCTTTCCATTTCTACTAAAATAACAGAATGATGGATTAAACAGGACTGGGATCTGATCCACCATGCCTCTTCCTATGGTCTTATGTCAGGCATTTATTTGTACAATAAAATGTCAGTGTATATGTTCCATTTTACATATTTATATTTGTGTGTCCATGTAAATTATAAAAGAGTATATACACACATACACATACCTATAATTTTGTATCCCACCTTTCCTAAGTTATATATGCCCAATCCCTAGGTTGCCTGATAATGTTTTGTCCTCTGCACTTCATCCAATACCCCGGTCCTATGTTACGATGCTTTGCACTATCCCATGACCAGCCCTTTTTAGTAGTCTAGTCATGCCCATTGTATTACAGGCTATCTGTTTTGTTGAGCATTGTCTTGATTGAGTTTCAATGCTACTCTTTTATATTCTTACGTTTTATTATGTTTTTATCTAGATTGTTGTATTTGACTATGCTCATATTTTAATTGTGTTTTAGTTTTAAGGATTGTTTTGTTTTTATGTTTTGTGGGCATTTTGTCCCATATGTAAGCTGCCCTGCATTCCTTTGGGGAGATGGTGGTGAGGTATGATAATAAAATAATAATTATAATTATAATAATTATTATTATTTCTCCCCAAGATGAGCTCCAAAGTAGCCTATATATAATGTGAAACAATCAAGTTAAAATAATGTGTGGTATAAACATTTAAAAAGCTGCTCCATGTACCACATTCAATCCAGGTTGTGAAAAGTGCTCTACAAATATATTTTGCTGGTTTGGTTGACATATTTCACCTTCAAATCCAATAATCATTCAATAACCTCCACTCTTAAAACTGTTAAAGATCCTAAAGTAAACAGAACATTTCTGACTCATACAC